GTCTGCTTCAGAGATAAAATGTGCTATTTATTATGTATTTTGATGTGCTGAATTCAAATATGACAATTAAAACAACTGATTGGCTACTGTTTCCAAAATATTTAAGTTTTTACATTTTATGTCTATATATGTTGTGTAGATAGTTTTAATCATAAATTGTAAACCTAGGTCTTTTCATGTGTTTATGGTTGCTTTACATGATAATATTTCACCTGTCTGGTTTATGTAACACTTTAAAAATCAGCAAAAGGGTTATATAAATAAAATTTATTATGAAACAAAAAGGCAAAAAACTATTATGTACATCAGGAAGGGGGGCTAGGGAGGGGTAAGTGGAAGGAGGTGAGGGAGGAATGGGGTACGAGCCCCCGATGGGGAGGACTGGGGTGGCTCTGCGGGCTCCTCGGGGTGGAAGGCTCTCCTGCAGCCCCCCGATTGACCCTCTCCCGGATGGCAGCCTGCGGCAAGTGCAGCCGGGCTGATGGCTGAGTGCTGTGATGTGCCAAGTGTGGGCATTCAGGGCACTCCAAGCCAGGATTGCTTTGCTGTCTCTCATCGAGTTAGACAAGTGAGTGGGGAACCCCTGAGAACTGTCTGTCCGGGGTGGGGGTTGGGTCCCTTTAAGCACAGCCCTCAGCTAGCATGAGACAGCAGCTCCACGCTCTAAGTCCTAATCTGATGCCCTGCCAGCACTGCTTCCGGCCATCCTTAACCTCGGTTCAGGGTCCACTCAATGTGGACATGCTAGTTCGAATTAGCAAAACGCTAATTCGAACTAGTTTTTAGGTCTAGATGCACTAGTTCGAATTAGCTTAGTTCGAATTAACTAATTCGAATTAAGTTAGGTCGAATTAGTGCTGTAGTGTAGACATACCCTTCCTCTTTGACCACTACATTTCCTGTGTCCTAAGTATCAGACATTTCTTTCTTGCTAATCTTCTCATTTGATTGTACTCATTCACAAAACTCCACCTGCTCAATCCTCAAAGCTTACAAAATATTATTAATCAGTGCTTAAAACACAACATTAAACTGACTAATTCTTGTTATTAATAGTATGTGCTGGCTAATAAAGATCTTCAGTGATGTGCTTTTCATAATATTTTATCTTAATTATATGGTCATAAAGAAGATAAGCGCATATTACTTCCTGAAAGTACACCTTAGCTATTTAATTACATTACCTTGACTGGGTCCCATTGACCAAAAGAACTGGGATGTTTATAAGATAAAACCAACATCTTGCGTGCAAGTGGTAAACTTATTGAGTAACATTTCTCAAAAATGCTTTCTCGATTTTCCACTAGATGCTTCAACTTGCTATACAATTGGTAACGTACAATGTGAGGTTTTCGCCCTCCATTTATGGTGATTTGTGGTAGCTGCAGTCTTTCAAATTCTTCCTGAATAATTAAAGCACAACATATGACAAAAATCATAAATATGATGAAATGTTATAATAAACGGTGATATGAATAACAACTGCCATTAACTATTATTGATCTTTGGACTAAATCCTGTGCTAGTATAAATGAATGTGCCTCTGTTGATTTTAGCTTCAACTGAGGATCTGTTCCCTCATTTTCATTATTAAAATTTATATTACCTTATTATAATATGCTAAAAATTAGACAATTTTCCATTTAGAACTGCACATTAAAGTCAGTCTTTCAAGAAATTAATGGAAGCATGTATCATTGGGTGTAAGACAATGTCCTTTCTCCACAGCTCACTCCTTCCTGAAATGCAAGGAGTGTTAAAGATTATTCTGATTCTTAATCCATTTGTTGGTAAAAAAGAAAAAGTAATTGAAGTCTAAGGATGTCAGTATGGTTACTACTATGTTTAGAATAAGAATTCTGTGCGAGGGAAACACTCAACTTTGTAATGGGCAAAAGCTCCAATCTGAGTGTGGGGCTATATTCTGATACTAACCTTTGTAGAAAATACATTTTTTGAAAATGTAATTTACGTCAGAAGCTGTTTTAATAATCTATGAATAAAATGTGAAATCAAATTGAAATTATGCTGCAGATTTTAAAAGAGCACTTGCACTTTCTTCCTTCCCCCTTCAAAAATTGACTGCAATGAGATTTAGTGAAAAATGTACAAGAACTTAAGGATTTGGCCCAAAAGGAATTTTGGCTGAATGAGGATCTCAGAAATTTTAATAATAGATTTGACAGCCAGAAGGGTCCATTATGATCATTTAGTTTGATCTCCATTCATTTGACTCATAAAAAGGAAATGAAGATCTCAAGTACTATAACTTTGAAATTTGACAACTAAATTAAATGAGCTATAAAACTGGAAGCACTTCTTGCCTCATGCCATATTATTTGACAAAGTATGCAGTGAAGAAAGTACCTGTAATCCTTGTAAATTATTACTATCTGCTTCATACTTTTCTGCAATTTCATTTTTCATGCGTTCGACAGCATCATCCTCTTGTTCTTCCTCCTCCTCATCTACCTCTTCCTCTTTTGGGAACTCTTCTTCAAGAATAGCGTCAATATCTTCTTCTTCATCTTCATCTTCATATTCTTCATCTTCTTCCCTATATGCTTCAGCCTAATGTAGAAAATGTTCTTCTGTTTCATGACTACTGTACAGAAGTTCAGATAAAAGAAAATAAAAGCATTCTCTCCCACATGCTTTTCCCCTTTTTTGTCCACTGTTTTAGCTTATAAATAATTTTCAAATAGGCAGAGGTGCCTACCTAAGCA